AAGTAGGTGCTTTAGACCACTGAGCCATCTCACCAGCGCCTGCAGAATTTTTCTTGTATGTCATCTTGATATATTACAGGGTAACTGTTAAGTCAAACAGTATGCACCAGCCAGGTCTTGTAGCACACAGCTGTCATCCCAGCACTCTGAGAGGCTGAGGCAGGAGGATGGCAAGGTGGAGCCCAGCCTGGGCAAAACACAAAAACTATATTGGTGGTATATGTCATCATGAATTTTTCCTAACCACAAAATGTATACCAAGAGAGGACTCTAACTTTAAGTTATGCTCTTTGGCTGTAATATGTCACAGTAATCCCACCAGCTGCAGTGCACGTACCACACTGGTGGGAAAGTTAACAATGGAGGGCAGCTGTCTGGAGGGGCACTGGGAGGTACAAGAGATATCTCTGGGCTTGAGCCTTCCATCCTCCCACCTCAGAATCCCAGAGTACAGGCTTGCACTGCCACACCCGGCTCGCTGATCTATTTTTGCTTACAAACTATGACCTAGTATAACTATGGACAAGTTCCCTTCAAAGTTCATTTCCAAAATTTTGTTAGCTGCCATTCGTTTTCCATTTCAAATAAAGGTTTTTCTTATTATTTTGTGGTGCTACAGATCAAATTCAAGTCCTTATGCATGCTAGACAAGCTGAATTACAGCCCTAGCCTTAAACATTTAAAAAAAATTAATCTTTTTTTGTGATGCTCAGATCATAATTATTTTTAATTCTTTTTGATTGTTTGTTTTAGGGTTTTTGAGACAAGACCTAACTGAGTAGTTAAGACCAGCCCTGAACTCACTTTTAGCAGCCAAGGCTGGCCTCAACCTGTTGGTGAGCCTCCTGCCTCAGCCTCCTAAATGCTGGGATTACAGGCCTATGTCACCATGCCCAGCTATGATTACTTTTAACATCAACAGGCACAAGCCCATCAGAGAAGAAAAATCTTTCACATCAGCCTGCTTTTGTCAGACCCTTGTGGTGCTACGCACTCACCTGCTGTGATATTCTGCTAGTGGATTTTCTTCTTCCAGGATCTTCCTGCCAGCAAAGTCAATGGTGACCTTCTTAGAAAGTCGAGAGGCATGTCGAAGTTCTCTCAGCTCTTCTTCTCGCTTTTGCAGGGTTTCCCGCTCAATCTTAGACAACCACTGGTTAGAGTCACTGGCGAAGTAATCTGATTCATCATCAATGACTTGAGTCCTTCGAATGCTAAGATAAAAAGGAACATGGGACAATTCGGTCATAGGGTGATAAATATGGGTGGGCAAGTGTTTGAGGCAGCTCATACTCTTGCCTGATACCCAGTTCTGCATACATCTTGTCTCAGGTCAGCACCTTGAACTACAGAATCTCAACCTAAAGCAGGAAAAGACACAGAGCCTCAATCCAATGTCATTGTATCTTTCTAACAGGGTCAGTCTTCACCTTAGGTTACCTGAGTTGATGCTTTGTTAACTTGTTCTGTATCTTAGTCCTACAATCAGCCTATTTGCTCACTACAATTCTACCCTGAAATCTGCTGATTTAACTGTTACTCTTTCAGAGGCATAGGGAAAATTCTAAAATCAGTTTCATATATTGATTTCAGTTTTTCAGGACTCAGCTGGAATGAAGAGACTGTGCCACAGAGTGAGACACGTAAGAAGACTGAGGCGGAAGCAGGCATGGGGGTGTACACCTGCAATCCCAGCTATTCAGGAGGCTGAGGCAGGAAGACTACAAATTCAAGACCAACCTGGATAACTTGTTCAGATCCTGTCTCAAAGTAAGGTTTTTTTGTTTTTTTTTTTTTTTTTTTTTTTTTTTTTTTGTGGAATTGGGGATTAAATTCAGGCCCTTGTGCTTGCCAGGCAAGTGCTTTTCTGCTGAGCTGTCTCCCCGACCCCAAAGTAAGTGTTCTTAAAAAGGGTCTGTTGGGCATGGTGGAACACACCTATATCCCTAGCCCTCTTACAGGCTGAAACAAAAAGATAACCAGTTCAACCCTTGCCTGGGATATTTAGCAAAATCCTATCTCAAAATAAAAAAATTACAGAAGGGCTCAGATGTAATTCTATGGGAAGGACCTGAGGTCAACCCCCAGTACAGTAAAAATTTTTAAACATCAAAAATAAAGAGAGCTCTCGACTTTAACACCATCTTCTTAGGAACCTCTGAGCCATGAGAGCCAAGTGGAGAAAGAAGCGAATGCACAGGCTGAAGCGTAAAAGAAGAAAACTGAGACAGAGGTCCAAGTAAAATAGCTCGTACACCCCTGGAGGCCAAAAGAACAGAAACAAAGCATGCTGGAGGCTGACAACAATGGTGCAAGTTTTGGACTGCATGCTGTCTAGAATGTCTCAATGGATTAGAACTTCATTGCCATCTGATTACCAACACCACCTCGAAGAGATCCACCTGGTTCAAGCTAAGCAGTCTCCTGGTTTTTTTGCCCTGGACCTGTGGCATTCTGGACTACTTCTGTTCTCACTTTTGGCTGAGTGTAAAGTGTGTACAATAAATCATCTCTTCTGTGTTAGCTGAAGAATCAAAAAATAAAATAAAATAAAATAAAATAAAGGGAGCTGAGGATGTAACTCAGTGTAGATTATTTGTCTAACATACACAAGGGCCTACGTTTAATCTTCAGTACCATTAAAAAAAGAAAAAAGCATGAAAGACAAGAAAAAGGGCCTAGATTTGGGGCTTAAGTGCCTGCCTTGCAAGTGCAAGATCCCAAGTTTGATTCCTAGTACCACAGGGGGGCAAAAAAATTCCCCTTGAAGAAAAAGGGCCTAAGGGCCGGCCAAATAGCTCAGTGGATTACAATGCCTGCAAACAGGTGCAGGGGCCGGGGGTTCAATCCCTGGGCCTAGAGTGCCTGCCCCGCCCCTGAGGCATGCTGAACCAGCAACTGACACTGGGCGTTGTGGTTCTCGCCTGTAATCTTGGGAGGTTGTAATAATATACTGAAGCGTAATCTTTTGATGAGGCACATCTGCTTCTTCCAAACCATTTGCTATGCTACTTGGGACGCTATAAACAGGCGGATCACTATGAGTCTGATCTAGTAATGAGACCCTGAATACCCTGTAGACCCTTCCCTAAAATATAAAAAAAAAAAGAAAAAGAAAAAGGGCCTAGAAGAAAATTAGTCTTAAATCCGTAAGATCAGCTTCAAATCTAAATACTGAAACTGGTGCCCTTGAACATGCTAACAAAGCAGACATCAAAAGAGAGCCCTTCTTCCAGTTTCTGTTTACCAAGCAAGGCTCTGTATTTCTAATGATAAATTTTACTGAGTAGGTTGAAACATGATACTTAAAGGGTGATGTGGTCAAGGCTTTCTTAAGGAATGGCTTCATGAATTATATCTCACATATTCATAGCATAGCAAATGGTTTGGAAGAAGCAGATGTGCCTCACCAAAAGATTACGCTTTTTTTTTTTTAATTTGTGTGTGTGTGTGTGTGTGTGTGTGTGTGGGCAGCTCAGCCCACCAGGGGGCGGGGCTGGCTGGCATGTGGTGCTGGGGGATTGAACCGCGGTCCCTGTGCTTTGACTAAGCTTATTCTAAGTAGGTGCTTTAGACCACTGAGCCATCTCACCAGCCCAAGATTACGCTTTAATACATTACTATTTATGCTCTCCTAGATGTTGGCTTTTTCTTTTCTTCTGTTTTGGTTCATCAGGTACAGTCTTGCTGTGTAGTACAGCACAGTCTTCAAGTCACTGTGCAGTCCAGGCTGGACTTACACTCGCATCCTCCCACCCCAGATGCCTGAGTGCTGGGATTCTAGGCACGTGCAGCAAGCAAGGTAATTTTGAATTGATTCTCCAGAGCCCAGGGAATCTAATATAGTTGTAAACCATGAACTGACATTTCCTTAGCACTCCACTATATATACAATGGTGGTCTCTTAAAATCATGATGGAGCTGACAATGATAAAGCAACATCACTATTGTCACGACCTCACATTACTTACGTGTTTGTGGTGATGCTGATGTAAAGAAACGTACTCGACTAGCAAGTGTAGAAAATTAAACCATGTACAATTATTGATAGTCCATACTGGATGCTGATAATAAAGGCTACAACCTTGTGTATTTAATAGGTTATACTTTGTATCATTGTTTTAGTTTTTGGTACTGAGAATCGAACCCAAGGCCTCAAGCATGCTAATCATACTTCACCTCTGAGCTACACTCTCCTCTCTTATCATTTTACAGTATATCACCGCTATTTAAACAGTTCACTCTAAATAGTATGCTGTCATGCCAGCAGTGGCCTCCTGCATCTCATGCTTACAGCATCTCTTGATTGCATCATTTCCCTCGTGCTTGATTTAATCTTGCATTTCGTCCATATAGCCCTAAAAGCAGTAGGCTGTGCCGTAAATATATGGACTGTATCACTCAGGCAGCGTGAACCGACAAGGCAATGTTTGAGCAATGAAGCTCTCTAAGGACACAGTTCTTGGAATTCAGTCCCATTATTAAGCAATAAATAACTATGTGCTGACTAAAGAAAAAACTGGCTGCAACCAAAAGAAGTAGAGAATACATCACCTCAAATCAGCTGTCTAAGAGTATCTTAGTATTTGCCAAGAACAAAAATATTGCCACAGGACAATATGCTCTTAGTGGAACTTTTTATCTTATTCCAACATGGATTCAAAAACAAGGCATAAGCAGGAAGATCGCTGCAAGTCAGAAAGCAGCCTGGGCTACACAGCAAGCTCAAGGCCAGCCAAAACTATATGTGAGACCTTGTCACCTTGCTTCCCCTGGGGAAAAAAAAGATGTAGGCTACAAATGTGGCTCCATTACCATGGGTTTGACACTCAGCACTGCAAACAAAACAAACAAAAAATAAGATACAGGCCTGCTATGCAGAGCGTCCAGCTGCCCATCAGCTCTAAGTTCTTCCACACTCACTGGGAGAGGGACAGTAAGTTCAAAACTAATGTTTTAATGGCCAGAATTCATGGATTAGTCAGTCTACTTCTCAGTATTCATTACTCTAACTCTGTCATACCTAGTTCTGTCAAACTCTAACAGTTTGTCTTTATGCTTGATAGCCTTCTCCAGTCCAGACTTAAATCGGGATTCTTGATGAGGAAGAAGGTTCTTAGTGGAGATGTCCACCTTTCCAGAATTGTCTGCCCCTGAAATTCAATAAGGGAATCAAAGAGCATCAGAATATGGTACCAGTGACTTGTGTTACTGTGCAACAAAGAACGAAATACCTGAAGATCTGGTCTAGTCTAAGAGCCTGGAGTCTTCATTTCAACAGAAAACAACAAAGCTCGGACACCAGCCCTGACTTACATAGCATCAAATAGTACTTGTCAGGTAACAGGTCACCAAAAACGCCAGGGTCTTTTTCTTTTCTACCAGCAATGTGGATCACTAAGGAAAACAAACCATTTAACAGCACAATATAACAACATCTTCTAGGATGGGTGGGGTAGCTCAATGATAAGCATGAGGCCCTACATTTATCACCCAACACCACAAAAAAGAAAGAAAAAAGAAAAGAACAGAAAAACAAAAAGGAAACAGCTTTACAAGTGAATATCTTTACTGAATAGGACTATCACCTTTAAGTATACTACTATACATGAAAACTCAAAATTAGTGGAAGGTGTGGGAATAGAGCTCAGTGGCACAATGCCTTCTTAGCAAGCACAAGGCCCCGAGTTCAATTCCTAGTACCAAAAAAAAAATTTCAGGAAAACTACCCAAAAATAAATAGTTAAATACAAAAGCACTTAATACAAAGTATGTAATTCTCACAGTACCCTATACAAGTTTGGATTATCTTTGTTTTATATATATAAAAAAAAGGAAGTTCAGAGATAATACAGAGCTTATTGAGTTTACTCAGAAGAACACTGGTGTGGCAGCATGTCTGTATTCCCAGTCATTCAGGAGGTTAAAGCAGGATGGTCACTTAGAGGCCAGGAGGTCAAGGCAACACAGTGAGATCTCAAACCAAACCAAACCAAACTACCAAACCCCTCAACTTCAATAAAAATAAAAAAGCATACCTTCCTATAAATATAAAAATGTAATGTCAAAATTCAACCATGAACAGGTTTAGAATACAATGCTAATATTTCCATAGACTAGTACAATAATTTGGTGCGGTAATTTGATGTCAAGTGCCCAAGGTGGTAAAATTTTATTTTTTATTTTTTATTTTTTTGGCGGAACCGGGGATTGAACTCAGGCCCTTGCACTTGCCAGGGAAGCGCTTATTCCACTGAGCCATCTCTTGGTGGTAAATATTTTTTTTTTAATATTTATTTATTTTTATTTATTACATTTATTTATTGTGTGTGTGTGTGTGGCCAGCTCAGCCCACCAGGGGGCGGGTCTGGCTGGCATGTGGTGCTGGGGATCGAACCGCGGTCCCTGTGCTTTGCCAAGCTTGTTTCAAGTAGGTGCTTTAGACCACTGAGCCATCTCTCCAGCCCCAAATATTTTTTTTTCTTTTTTTTTTTTTTTTTTTTTTTTTTTGCAGAACTGGGGATTGAACTCAGATCCTTGCGTTTGCCAGTCAAGCACTTATCCTACTCAGCCATCTCCCTGGCTCCCCCCTCGGTGGTAAAATTTTAACTAGGCATTGGAATCACAGCACTTGAGAGGCTAAAACAGGAAGATAGTTGGAGGCCAGCCTGAGCTATGTAAGTGAGCTTAACTACTTCTTGGACTATAAAGTAAGACACTATCCCAAAAAAACAAAAGAAAAAAGAAAATTACTTAATTCATTTTTTTAAATTTTATTTATTTGTGTGTGTGTGTGTGTGTGTGTGTGTGTGGCCAGCTCAGCCCACTAGGGGGCGGGCTGGCTGGCATGTGGTGCTGAGGGATTGAACCGTGGTCCCTGTGCTTTGCTAAGCTTGTTCTAAGTAGGTGCTTTAGACCACTGAGCCATCTCACCAGCCCTTAATTCATTATTTCTATGCTTAGGAATTTGTCCCAAGAAAATAGAACAGCAGTCTGGGTTCAGTGGTAAATACCTATCATTTAGGTATTTCTGGTCACTTGGGAGGCTCAGGCAGGAAATTAGCAAGGAAAAGAGTAGCTGGGACACTAGAGCAAGACCCTGTCTCAACTTCTGGGAAGACGTCAGAGTGGGAAACAGCAACAAATCAAACTCTAAGATTCAGAATCCAGACAATGGAAACCAACAAGTTAGGAAAGAAAAGGAAGGGGTGAATACTTGGGACCCAGGAATGATCTGAAAGGAGTATTGGAGCCCACAGGGAAAAAAAAAAAAAAAGACCCTAGTGTAGGAAAAAGGAGGGGTGAACTGCACTTTGTCCCCAGCTTTTGGCTGCAAGACAGAGAGACTGAACCTACAGTGACAGTGAGGGTGGGAGATTCCAGGGGACTCCAGGAGAAACACAGCAGGGGAACAGAGTGAAGGATGCCATGCACTACAACAGCTGGTGAATGACTCCAGTCCAGTGACTGCTATGGCCACTGGACAGGGTGTTTGGCCAGACGCTATTTTGTTTTATTTATTTATTTATTTGTATTTAGTATAGGGACTACAGGGTCTCCAGGGTCTCACTATGTAGATCAGACTCATAGTGATTCTCCTGTTTTCAGCTTCCCAAGTGCTGGAGTTACAGGCGCGCACCACCACGCCCAGTCTCAATCGCCTTCTCAGCATGCTGGGGATGGAGCCCTGGCCACTGTGCTCTGCCTAAGAAGACACTTTAGTCTGCTGAGCTATCTGGCCAGCCCTCAGATGCTATTTTAGAGAGGGGCCAACTGAACCCAGGACTCAGAGCCGCTGTGGGCTGGTTTCATCTCAGAGCTCCCAAGTTGAAATCCTGAAGTGACTGGGTGAGGGGCAATAGCTGGAGACTTCCAGGTTCAGGGAGCCAAGGTCAAGCCAGTAAGAGCCACCCAGAATGTTACAGGCTGAACAACTCAGGCCTCAGCCCCACAAACAGAGGCCAGGCTCAGTCTGAACTGTGGCATAGAAAGCATCAGGATCAGCACCCAGCCTTACACCTGTAGGGCTTGCTGGGGCCAGCAGAATGAACCACTTTGAACATAGAATACCAGATCTAGAAGCCAGGCTTACAGTCAGCTGTCATCAAGCAAAGGACTTCTTAAAAATAGCAAAGGGCCAGAGAATGGGGCAAAAACAAGTTATATCATGTACAGGTACAAATTCTCTTTGATGAATGTGATCATGATGTATGTCTAAAATGTACCAATAAAATCTGATTAAAAACATAGCAAGGGACCACAAAAAACTCAATCCAGCAGCTGTTAAGATGATGCAAAGAAGAATTAGATAAGATAAACTGGAATTAGTAAAAAGGACATAAAAACTTGTTCACAAATGTAATGGCAAGGGCCAGGGAGATAGCTTAGCAGCATAGGCTCCTGCTTGGCAAGTGCAAGGTCCTGAGCTTGATCCCTGGTACTTAAAAAAAAAAAAAAAAAAAAAGATATAAAAAAATGAAAGAGTGCTTTTTTTTCTGCTGGTGGACATCGCGGAGGAAGCATCATCAGGCTCTCTTCCGACTGCCGTCATGTCTAAGTCAGAGTCTTCCAAGGAGCCCGAACAGCTACGGAAGCTCTTCATCGGAGGGCTGAGCTTTAAAACAACTGAGGAGAGTCTGAGTCCCCATTTTGAGCAGTAGGGAACACTCACAGACTGCGTGGTAATGAGAGACCCGAACACCAAGCGTTCCAGGGGCTTTGGGTTTGTCACTTATGCCGCTGTGGAGGAGGTAGATGCAGCCATGAATGCAAGGCCACATAAAGTGGATGGAAGAGTTGTGGAACCAAAGAGAGCTGTCTCAAGAGAAGATTCTCAAAGACCAGGTGCCCACTTAATGGTGAAGATCTTTGTTGGTGGCATTAAAGAAGATACTGAAGAACATCACCTACGAGATTATTTTGAACAATATAGAAAAATCGAAGTGATTGAAATTATGACTGACCGAGGCAGTGGAAAAAAGAGAGGCTTTGCTTTGGTAACCTTTGATGACCTTGACTCTGTGGATAAGATTGTCATCCAAAAATACCACACTGTGAACGGCCACAACTGTGAAGTAAGGAAAGCCCTGTCCAAGCAGGAGATGGCTAGTGCTTCATCTAGCCAAAGAGGTCGAAGTGGTTCTGGAAACTTTGGTGGTGGTCGTGGAGGAGGTTTTGGTGGCAATGACAGTTTCGGTCGCAGAGGAAACTTCAGTGGTCGAGGTGGCTTTGGTGGCAGCCATGGTGGGGGTGGATATGGTGGCAGTGGAGATGGCTACAATGGATTTGGTAATGATGGAAGCAATTATGGAGGTGGTAGAAGCTATAATGAATTTGGCAATTACAACAGTCAGTGTTCAAATTCTGGACCCATGAAGGGAGGAAACTTTGGAGGCAGAAGCTCAGGGCCCTGTGGAGGTGGAGGCCAATATTTTACCAAGCCACAAAATCAAGGTGGCTATGATGGCTCCAGCAGCCGCAGTAGCTATGACAGTGGCAGAAGGTTTTAAATACTTCCAGGAAACAAAGCTTAGCAGGAGAGGAGAGCCAGAGAAGCGACAGGGAAGCTACAGGTTACAACAGATTTGTGAGCTCAGCCAAGCACAGTGGTGGCAGGGCCCAGCTGCTACAAAGAAGACATGTTTTAGACAATACTCATGCGTATGGGCAAAAAACTCGAGGACTGCATTTGTGACTAATTGTATAACAGGTTATTTTAGTTTCTGTTCTGTGGAAAGTGTAAAGCATTCCAACAAAGGGTTTTAATGTAGACCTTTTTTTGCACCCATGCTGTTGATTGCTAAATGTAATAGTCTGATCATGACGCTAAATAAATGTGTCTTTAAAAAAAAAAAATGAAAGAATAATGGTAGAAAATGTCTCAAGCATGGAAAAAGAATTTCACATACAAATAAGTGAGGCATGGACCCGGGAGACACTCAGTAGAATACACGCTTGCCTGGCAAGCACAGGGTCCTGAGTTCAATCCCTGGTATAGCAAAAACAAACAAACAAAAGAAACAAGTGAGTGGATATGATCAGAAAAATAACCCAAACTACAAGGCATATAATAGTCAAGATTCCAGAAATTCAGCATAAGAACAGAATATTAAAAGCTATTAGAGAAAAAGAAACAAATCACCTGTAAAAGAAAACCAGGCCAACCAGATAGCTTAGCAGAATAAAGTGCCTATTTCAGCAGACTCAGGGACCAGGCTTTGATCCGTGGTATGCCCTTGGGGCACACTGAAACGGTGGCTAAGACTGGGCATGGTGGCGCTGATGGCGTGCATCTGTAATCCCAGCGCTTGGGAGGCTGAAAACAGGAGGATCACTACAAGTCCAATCTGTGTGGTGAGACTCTGTAGAACGTGTACTAAGTACATTAAAAAAAAAAAAAAAAAAGAAACAGAAAACCCCTAAGTATCACAGTAGACTTCTTCTCAATATAAATCTATAAATCAAGGAGAGCTTAAAGTGAAGTATTTCAAGTCCTAAAAGAAAACAACTGGCTGGAGACATAGCTCAGCAGTACAGTGCCTGCCTGGCAAGCACAAGATCATGAGTTTAACTTCTGGTACAAAAACAAAAAACAAAAAGAAAAAAAACCTCCAGAGCAGATTAATGTGAAATTATCTTGTCTTCTAGATTTGTATGATTTTCATGGGCCGGCCAGATAGCTTAGGCAGGCTTCAGGGACCGGGGTTCAATCCCCCATCCCCCAGGGTGTGCTGAGATGGCAAATGAGACTTTTGTAATCCCAGTTCTTGGGAGGCTGAGAACAGGAGGATCACTTTTGAGTCTGATCTGTAAACCCTGTACTAAATACATAAAAATAAATAAATAAGTAAATAGATTTGGGTGGTTTTCATGAAATTGGAAATCAACAGCAAAAGAAACCACATAAACTGCATAAACATGTAGAAATTACCTATCACTTTCCTGAACAAACAATAGGCCACAGGTGGAATTAAGAAATTAGACAGCTTCTATATATCAGAACTTACAGGACACAAGAAAAGAGGTCCTACAAGGGAAATTGATAGTGGTGAATGCCCACATTCAGATAAACAGAATGAGCTCAAACAGATAACATAATGTTGAACCCCAAACTTCCAGAAAAAGATGAGCAAACTAAAGCTAAAGCATGTACAGATTCATAGCTGAAATCAACATAATTGAGACTACAAAAACAGTACAAAGAATCAATGGATCAAAGAGTTAGTTATTTGAAAGATTAACTCAAACAAACCTTTGGCCAACCTTATCAAAAAAGGACTAATACCTAAAATAGACAAAGAAAATAAAATAAATAAAATAAAATAAAAGACAAAGAACCACAAAAATCAGACCTCCCAAAATTAAAAACTGAATCCAAAAATGGGCCTCTGAAAAAAAGAAAAAAGTATAGGGATGTGAAATGAATACATCCTTCTCAGAGGAAGAAATGCAAACAGTAAATAAATACATAAAAAATGTTCAATTTCACTGGTTATTTGAGAAATGCAAATTAAAACAAAGCTGATTCCATCTTACCTGAGAAATAATGGCTATTATCAAGAAATCAGGGGGCTGGTGAGATGGCTCAGTGGTCTAAAGCACCTACTTAGAACAAGCTAAGCTAAGCAAAGCACGGGGACCGCGGTTCAATCCCCCAGCACCACATGCCAGCCGGCCCCGCACCCTGGTGGGCTGAGCTGGCCACACACACACAAAATAAATAAATGAATAAATAAATAAATAAAT